TTCATCAAAGAATTTAATCAATGTCCCACTGAAAAGGGATTTGAACTATGCATGACTGCTCTGACAGTATGAGACTATCAAGAGTATACATTATTTGATATTTATGGTGGTTTCTTGTTACTGTGCAAGGTATAACTCATATTTCTAATTAAACATTTTAATATAACACAGCTTGTAAGTGTCTCATGGTACAGCCTGGTAAGGATACAAGATCGGGTTTTTAAAAGGAGCAGTGATTTTTTAAACACCAACACCAATGGTTTTCAACATGATTCTGCTCTGCCTTTCCCCTCTGCCGCAAAACTTACAGCAAAAATTCCTAACAGGAACATCAGTCAATTTATGCGCCATTGTACAGCAGTGTGTTTTGTGGCAGATTTGCTTAAATATCTTTCACTGAGATAAAGGAACTGCAAAGAAAAATGGCACTGTTGTGAATTTTCCCTGTTTTGTAACTCTGTATGGCCAGATTTACAGATTGCTGAAATGCTTTACTCCTTTGATTAAAGGACAAAGAATTAAGTGAACTTTTCTGCTGAATTCAGTGGGGGAAAATAATCAGTAATAATCATGTTTCATTTTAAAGCACATAATTAACTGGCCTGGTCTCTCACAAGCTAAATCTAAAGCCCAGTGACATCAAAAGAAGGCTTCCCATTGACAGTTGATCAGGGATGTATGACTGTGTGGCTGATCATTGGCGAATTGCTGCAGAGAAATGACTTTTTGAAATCAGATGGCAGCTAATGCCTTATAACTACTACAGCAATATTGCATGGCATTCCCCTTACAACAAATTGGGTACATGAGAGCACTCGGTTTCTTGCTGACTGAAAGGCTGAGGGTTTTTTGAAGTCTCTGATGAGCCTGTCATCTCCTCCCCAACCATGGTAAAAAGGGACATCCCTTCACAGCCTGCATTAGAAACCAGATATCCCACACAGTCACATTTATAGACCACAGATGTCCATAATGAATGTAACATATTTAATGTCCCAGTTGTCCCATAATGTGCCATAATGAGGAATGAAGAGCTAGGGCTGGAAGGCAGCCCTGGCCACCAAGTAGCCCCTATATCCTAGGGATATCATGGGTTTCATCTTGAAACTTACTCCTTTAGCTTGCATCCAAAGTGCTCCCAGACACTGAGGAATAAAAATAAACCCTCTGTTCTCCACTCAATTATGGCTTTTCTTAGATTCATATCTAATTACTCTGACCAGCAGTTTTCCTCAGGGTATCATTATTAGGTCTCCCTTAGCCTCCTTTTGCAGTCACTTCCCCTCCATTGAGCTGATGGTTTCTGCAGCTTTAAAAGGTCTATCCACAGGCTTTGCTTTAGCTCAGCAGCTTCCACCTTCTTCTCCCGGGGCAACAGCAGGGTTAACTCACAGCTCAGTAGCTCTGACAGAGCTATTGGAACAGTAGCATTGTCTCTGGAATAAAAAGCATGATGAAAAAAAAAAGAGGTTCTTCACATAATACAGAGATTATCAGAATGTCTCTATTCACTTTCTACATGGAGACCAGGAATATTTCTTTGCTGTTCTCTAGGGCTCTTTCACCCATAAGAGTCTTGAGCCTGCAGCACACAGCCCCTCTTCTGAGTCAAGCTGGTGTTGCTGTAAAACTTCTAGTCCTCTCCCTGCCACCTTCTTGAACCACAACAAATCACTATGTTTCCTCTGGAGCTAAAGTTTCTGATGTCTAGGAAACTGCAGTTCCTTTAGTGAATGTACTTCCTTGTCTGACCCATTTAACTGTGAATATAATTGGTAAGCAGAACATAAATTCATAACATTTATGAACAGTCTGTAAATGCTGCAGATGCCCACAGCATCTGTCCCTTTGCATCTGATAGACCTTGAATAATCCATGACATTGCAACTGTCACAAGTGGTCTCATGATAAATTTTTTTAGCCTGATTTCTTAAAGGTATGAGGCTAAGCCACTCTGATGAGTGGAGCTGTTGTTGATGTATGTGCACTCTGCCTGGGATTTCAGCTCTGCTTTTGGGAGAGGGGTAGATGAGGAATCGCCATCCAGCATAAACACTTACCTTGCTCACTGCTGAACTGGGGACTCTCAGCCTCACAGTCTTGCAGGTTCCCCCACACAGATACTACTGTTTAGGCATGGGGATCTGTGCCAGCATCCCACTCCTGCATCCTCCCTGTGTGATAGAGATGCTTGTTAGCTGTTGCTACATATTGCTGGAATAGGCTGCAGTTAAAGTGACTATGAAGAACACTTCAGCGTTCTTGTTTTCTCATGAGAAATTGTCGTTCAAGTTATAAACACCTCTTGAAGATACTTGCAGAAATATGCCACAGGGAAATAGCAGATGATAATATTGCAAAGCAGTGGTATCATCTCTGTCAAGACCTTCAAAGCAGAAGATGTCCTTTCTTGGCTTTTTGGGCTGCTTTTTTCCAGAGATGGCAAGGAGTTGAAATAAGTTTTTTGCAAGCTTTTGATGGCCTATTAAATAATCTTCTTTTTGTGTCTTTAAGCAGCTGATGTATCTCAATGTGTTAAGCTTGTGAACACTACTATTGGCCTGGTAGCTTGTAACTTTACATTGCACAAGAATCAAGAAGCCAACTGAATTTGCTCATTTTCATTGCAGGAGAGTACTTTGTGAGCCTAATGTTAGGTGGGGAAATGATAAACCTAGTGTGACAGGGTTCTGTATCTATGAAAAAGGACAGACTTCTCTCAGAAAGAATCCACTTGCCCAAACAAGACTCCCTGAAAGCCAGCCTGTGTTTAGGGGCTTCAACCAGAAACAAACCCCAGTTTGCTAGACTTCAGCTTCCCACCCAGATAAAACCTATGGCTCAGACATGGTGACCACTTACTCAGGAAAATTTTTACATTACCCTAACATGGTGTCATTTGATAAACTAGTATCACCTCTACTAAAATCACAAACAAACTAACTGCCAAAAGCAAAGACAACCGTAGGAGAAATTAGAGCTCAACACAAGGGTTATAAATAAAGTTTGCCAGGGCTGGATTTTTTTCTCTCCCTGATATAATGAGATCAGAGACCTCCATATTCTCTTCTGAATCAGGGATTTATGCACACAAATGGTCTATGTGTCTTCTACATGGTTTCGGTTTCTTATTATACCACACTGCTTCGCCCTCAAAATAATGGAACAATTCCTGCTTGTCTGCTAATTAAGTGTAAAGTTGTCTGAATCTCTTTATTAACACAATTTTAATGTGCTGATTGAATGGAATATATTATGTTTCCACTTGCTTCTGAGTTTACCAGACAGATTTTGCTATATTTGTACTGTAATCTCTCCTGCTTCTCTACAGATGAAAAGGAAAGGCCCAGCCTACTGCTTATACATAACATCAGTTTGTCAAGCATTATGTGCATCCCTTGGGATCAGTGGAACTATGAAATTGTATCATTATCATTGCCTGCTGCACTACTGAACCACCAAGCAGGGCCTGATAGAGTATGCATGCATGTTTGTGCAATGATATTTTTAAGCCATGGTTTGCCTTTTCATTTCTTTACCTCCTGCATACTAAACCAGCCCCAAAGTATTCCAGGCTGGTGCCCAGAACCAGAAGTTCCTTCTCCTTTTCAAACAAGGGTTTTTTCAGGTATTTGAGCTATTTCACCCAAGCCCATTATTTACAGATAGGAGAACTGTTGCTTTTTGCTTAGACACATTCACAGCTTCTGAAGAGAGAGGCAGACTTGCAGACTGCTGTGAAGTGATTTGGGTTTCAACCTTTGTCTCCACAGCACGCCTTTGAAAAACAGGTCTCTTGCAGGCGCAGAGTTTGGCTCTGCAAACAACTGAAATGTGCATATAAAGATAAAGCGCAACAGAGCAGAGTCATGGCTTTACAGTATCAAGGTCTTACTTAAAAATGCGGATAAGCCTGGAAGATCTTCATTTTAGGCAAATTTAATTCTTTCCACTTTGTTACAGGAAAACAAATTTCAGCTCTAAGTAGGCACCAATCTGACAGGAAATTCGTAAGCCTATTAGAGAGGGAAGTGCACTTGAAAGAACACCCTTTGACACTGAGGAAGTTACTGCTTCTTTGTAAGCCAGCACCTGAAAATGCTCTGACATCAGAAGTAAATGAACGATCAAGCGATAAAGCCTCGTCTCAGTGTTTGCTGTTGCTCCAGCTCTGCCTCACCAGGCTGTTTTGCTCCCTGTTGGTCCTTAGGGGTTGGACAGAGAGCTGGCACCAGGGGAACTCTGTTGACGCTTGCAGCTCCTGACAGGGCACGACAGTGCTTTTGGACTCAACCCTAAACAAACAGTGGTGTCAAACTTTTCAGTCCTGCAGGGAAGTCACCATGATGCAGCCAGCCATGCTAGGCTAGGTAGGATTAACTCTTCCCAAGGCAAGGCATTTTCCTCTTCTCTGTTTTCCAAGTCTGAGCAGAGGGTTCATTCAGCCACCTTCCATTAGCTCGGTAACCAGAAAAGCAAAGTGCGCTGACAAGATGTGGTTGTGGAGGATGTGAGAGGTTTCAAATCCCTCGTGCACTTTTGCAGAAGCGTGAAGGTTAAAGCAATGTTAACATTTAAAGTGTAAGGAAGCAGACTGAGGAAGCACAGTCCCAGCAGCCTGGCAGCTCTATTGGTTTCCTATATATCCTGTACAGGCGAACACTGTGGCAGGCTGAAATGCTGTTATGAAATATGAAAACAGGGCGATTGATCACATTGTATTATGAAAAGTAACTTGAAAGAATTTCATGAATTTGTACAAAACTTGTGGTTCGTATTTTTAAACTATATTATTATTTAGCTCCTGAAAAACAAGAAATGTAATGCCAGTAAGTGATGCGTAATGTTAGCATGGGAAAGAGAGCTCCTGAATGAGAAAAAGGGGGTGTGGTATTTTTGCAGAAACATTGTTTGAATTTGTGCATGTTTTGCCCATTTTTCCAAGGGGGGAATGATGGTAATTTCCCTGCCACTCTTAGGACTGTTATTGTAGGATACTGCAGTTAAGATTTTGTGATTTAATAAGGAAGCCCACCTACGACTGGGGTGAAATATCTATTGCAGATTTTAAATTTTTGTGTTAGCAAAAAATCTGTTGCAAATTTGGGGAAAAGATGATGAAACTGAACTGCAAGAATTTAATTTGCCATTTGCAGGTCTTTATTCTCTTTGGCTGCAAATGAGCCATCTACTAAGGCTCATGCAAAACGAAGAGACAGAAAACATGAGTCATTGTCTCTGGTATGCAGAAGGAAAATGAATGAAGTTTGCGATCTGGACATTGATCTCTAGCAACCATTTTTGCCTTAGATAAATCTCCAGAAGTCTGATATCCTTTTAGACTCAGTGATAACTAGCACAAACTGTTTGGTTAACAAACAGGGCATTTTCCAAATAATGCTGAGTGGGATTTCCACTCAAACACTGAAATACACTTCAGTATCTCTGATGGGAAAACGAAATACAGCATAGCAAAACACAGGTGGTATGTTCTAATAGAGGCCAAACAGAAGCTACCACTACAAGGAAAGGGCACTTGGAAGATGCGGTTATTTATTGACAGCAGCATTCACTATTCCATCTCTGTGTGTCAAAAATTCTACAGTGATGTGAGCTAAATGCAACACAATCTTGAAGTTGAGATTTTCTTCTTTCCAGTTCCCTGCAGAAGGAGCATCTGCAAATTGGAAAGTGGAATGGGGAGCAAATAAGAAACAGAACTGTACAAAGAAACTGGTTTGAGGAAGTGTCAGGCCTGTCCTCCACAGCAGGCCAGTGGCTGCATGGAAATGTGACCATGGATAACATAAGCAGCAGTGCCATTTGTACATAGAAATTACTTCTGTGTTCATGTGAGATCAAGAAGCAATTCCATCACTCAGATCTGAAAGGAATTGTGCTGTCTCAGCTGAGCATTAAAAGTTATGAAATTCAAAACAATTTACATGACTAAAACTTGACAGAACTGAAATGCTCATCAATAGGTATTGTCACAAAGGTAGCAGGTTCTGAATAACAAGCTGGGTGCTATAAATAAGGAGCGGAGAGGTAAGTGCTTTTTTCAGCCTCTTGCACTGAACTCCTGTGGTTGTAGATAGCTGTGAGAAATTCTGCTTCAGGGACCAGGCAAAGGGGATGACAATAAACCCCTTATTTTCATGTGTCAATTGGTCACTAAATGCAATTATGCTTTTCCTGTTCTTCTACAGAGATACACTGTCACAACAGCTTTACCAACAGGTAGGCACTGTCATTTAGTTTAGGCAATATTGTTCAATACAGTCTTCCTATATTAAATAATAACACCCACTGGCAGAACTGGGAAAATGTTCCTCCTTCTCGAAGAAGCAGTAATCTCAGATGCAGCCTTTGAATGAAGAAAATGTTGCAACTGGTGAAGTAGGAAGAGCATTTATGTGCCCCATTGTGTACCCAGGGTCACTGTGCCTGGGTAAAGACAAAACACCTTCTGCAGCTGGGCTTTTCCAAAGTGGGCAAGAACTAGTGTGGACTGGCTGAAGTTGAACGGAGGTTTGGGTAGGGTGAATTCAACTGTTTTGGCTCAAATGCACAGCCTGGACCCGCAGGCATGAGAGCCACTTTAGTGGAGAAGATAAGAAGTGTTCTGTGCGGACCTCAGTCTAGCATCTCCTCCTGTCACAACACCCCCAGATTAAGTCCAGGGATATCTTAAACAGCTTTAAAGGCAGAATTGAACTGGAATAGTTTGAATTATGATCAAAAATACAGTATATAATATATGGTTTTATGAAGCAAAAAGCTTCCTGAATTTCTATTAATTTTTTTATTTCTGCTAGCAAAAGGAGTTGTTGACTTGAGAAATGCATATTCTCACACAGCAGTACTGTATATATATCTGAGACTGTAAAAGTGAAAGCAACTGGACACTGATTGGTAATAAAGGTGAAAGTACACAGTTCATTCTCGTTGCTCACAGTGGAAGAAAGAACAAAGCAAACAGGATTAAAAGCCAAGTTAATTAAATTCCAAATACCTTTCAGTGTAATAAGTTACAACGGTATTAGTAACACAAGCTAGGAAATTTATTACTAAAAATAGCATTTTTTCAGCCTCCCTAGGTATTCTCTGTACTTAGTAAAGAGGGGTGAGCACATCCAGAGGGCGTTTCAGATCATAGAACTGAATTATTTTCTCATACGTACTCAATCTCTTTCTTACTCTCCCTATAAATATATATGTACACAGACACACAGAGACACACACACAAGGGAAGATTTATATGTGTATACACACATATGTCTCTGTGAGTATCTAAGTTACACACACATTTGCCTGTGTACACAAGCACGTGTGCAGCTGTCAACAATCCCCAGCAAGCTGCACTCCGAGCACAGGACCCTTCCCTACATTTACACAGAATAAATCCAAGTATGGAAGTTTGACAGAGCAAATTATGATTCTAAGTTTCCACTGTTTTTACAACTGTTGCACAAAGGAGTTTGTTCTGACTTTCTCTGGTTTACTTCATATCAGCATTAAGGCTTTGAGAATAAAGCATATCAGAATAATATATGCGTGGCTTTAAACAGAAGCTGGTAGTTAAAGAATTAATACATGATTCAGCAAACTAAATATCATACCTGAGAGATATGTAGTCACATCTTCAGCTCATGTAAATTGCAGAACTCCCAAGATCTCAGCCCTCCACAGACCAGTTGAGGAACCTGTCCTTGATCAGAATCAGGATCTCCCTGTGTGCCCCTGTGGGACCATTTTCATGGGTTGTTCTGCAATGCCCTGAGACCAGACGGATCTCTCTGACCTGGAGGTGGCTGCACTTCAGCTCTGAGCATGCTGGGGAAACTAAACTCTGCAGCTACCAATGTAAAATGCATGAATGTTACTGAGCAGCATGCACCCTGATCAGTGCTCAGGGAAGAAGACAGCCTCTCACATGCAGGAGAACAGTATTTTAACTCTTGTTTGGAGGTCACTGCAAGATCTATGACAGAAAGTAAATATATATCCTTCTAAATGCTGACTACAGAGAAGCTTGGGCAGAAGCTACTCCATCTCAGTCAGACACAAAACATTTTACCTTGTAGTAGCATTGTGGTTATCATAGTGTGACTGTTACCACTGTGTTCCATGATCTTTCAAGATTCTTAAATGTAACTGGAGATAAACAGGTAAACTCTGTGTCTGCAGTTCTTCCCCGTGTAAGAAATACCATGAACATCAACAATTGCTGGGCTTATCTTACTGCAAATACTTACTCAAGTTACCTAATGCCGCTCACAGGTTTTATGGGGATTCCTGGTGTTGGCTGAGATTCTTGAGTAAAAAGCTCTGTAACTGCATAATGTTTTACCCCAATAAGAGTGATTAATACTGTTATTAATGATTGCTGTCTTCTTCTCATGTTCTAACTAAAAATCCAAAGCAGGTGGCTAAAGGAGAACACCAAATATTAGGTGACGCACGTATCACTGAGCTGCCAGCTCCACATCCTGAGCATGGTCCCTAGTTTGCATGTGGCAGCCAGTCATTTTTAGGCATCTCAGACTACATTTACTGTGACTGTAACAGACAGCCTGAATACAAGAAATCCACAGCAGCACTGGCCAAATCAACCCCTCATCCTTTCATATGAACGTGACTGCTGGGCCTCACAGATGACGTCCAGTCCTCCATTTAGTAAGTCACTTAAAGAACAAAGGTGACTTTCTAATACCTTCTACCTACCAAATATTGGACCTTAGGTAGATATTATTTCCCCTAATTGTAGTTGCAGTGCTCTTCATTCTTGAAATACACTCCAACAGAAGGAGACAGCTCTAGGTCATTAAGCACATACTCGCTTTGATTTACTGCAAGGTGAGCCTATATGGAAATCTATAGACACCACAGCTTTCACCCATGTCCTTTTTATGTTGAGGACATGTTCCATGTCCTTTTTATGTTGAGGACACCAGAACTGCACACAATACTCCAGGTGAGGTCTCACAAGAGCAGAGTAGAGGGGCAGAATCACCTCCTTTGACCTGCTGGTCACCCTCCTTTTGATGCAGCCCAGGATACGGTTGACTTTCTGGGCTGTGAGCACACACTGCAGCCGGCTCATGTTCATTTTCTCATCAACCAACACCCCCAAGTCCTTCTCCACAGGGCTGCTCTCAATCTCTTCTCTGTCCAACCTGTAGCTGTGCCTGGGATTGCTCCGACCCAGCTGTAGGACCTTGCACTTGGCATGGTTAAACCTCATTAGGTTGGCATCAGCCCACCTCACAAGCGTGTCAAGGTCCCTCTGGATGACATTCCTTCCCTCCAGGGTATCAACCGAACCACACAGCTTGGTGTCATCAGCAAACTCGCTGAGGGCGCACTCAATCCCACTGTTTATGTCAGCGACAAAGATGTTGAACAAGACCGGTCCCAACACCGATCCCTGAGGGACACCACACGTTACTGGTCTCCAGCCGGACATTGAGCCATTGACCACAACTCTTTGTGTGCGGCCATCCAGCCAGTTCTTTATCCACTGAGTGGTCCATCCATCAAATTGATGTCTCTCCAATTTAGAGACAAGGATGTCGTGTGGGACAGTGTCGAACGCTTTGCACAATTCCAGGTAGATGACATCAACTGCTCTACCCCTGTCCATCAGTTCTGTAGCCCCATCATAGAAGGCCACCAAATTGGTCAGGCAGGATTTGCCCTCAGTGAAGCCATGCTGGCTGTCACCAAGCACCTTGTTGTTTTTCATGTGCCTTAGCATGCCTTCCAGGAGAATCTGCTCCAAGATTTTGCCAGGCACAGAGGTGAGACTGACTGGTCTGTAATTCCCCAGGTCATCCATTTTCCCCTTCTTGAAAATGGGGCTTATATTTCCCTTTTTCCAGTCATTGGGAACTTCACCTGATTGCCAGGATTTTTTAAATTTGATGGCCAGTGGCTTAGCAACTTCATTTGCCAGCTCCTTCAGGACCTGATGGATTTCATCAGGTCCCATGTTTCAGGTTCTTAAGATGGTCTTGAACCAGATCCTCTCCTACAGTGGGCCTAAGGTCTTCATTCACGCTGTTCCTGCATCTGCCTTCCAAGACTTGGGTGGTGTGGGTAGAGCATTTGCCAGTGAAAACTGAAGCAAAGAAGTCATTAAGAACCTCAGCTTTCTCCATATCCAGGGTAGCCAGTTCTTCTGATAGCTGCCGGAGAGGGTACACATTGTCCCTAATCTGCCTTTTATTCGCAATGTACCTGTAGACACCTCTGAAATTAGGAAGAGCTTTAAAAATAACCAAAATGTACTGCATAGATGGTAAAAACTCTAAGAAAGCAAAGGTTTACTGAGCATATCTAAGCTGAGATGGCTTGATGAATACATCATGAGCTGACAGCCTAAGTGGCTTATCTCTGTGTCACTAGTGAGTTACTTGTCTGTTAACTCCTGCATTCTGTAGAGCTGGTTTCATGTGTTTCCCTCTGTCTTTATTAATGTTCCAAACTCATTGCTGGAGTATTTCAGTTTGTCCAAACTTGATCCATTTTCACTCTATTGTCACTAATTTATTCCTCTAGCTCATTAGCACCTTTGCATTGTTGATATTTTTTCTTCTCCCTCTGCAGGTAAATCAGTTTCTAGGGGGCATAGAGATGTTAGTCCAGCACATAAACATGATGTGGCATGCAGTGGTCCTCAGTGGCTGTAACCCATGAAAGCTAGTAGTGGAGATAGTGAACTGGATGTTCTATCAAGGCAGCAGCAATGGGTGGTCATAATAAGCCAAAATAAAAGAATGTAGACACTCACCAACCGTTTAGATGACCTTTAAAGGTCCCTTCCAACCCAACCTGCTTAATGATTCTATAACATGAGATGGCCTTTCTTTGTGCTACCTCATCCTTCTTCCTTAAGCTGCTCATAACCTACTGTATCACTCATCAGCCCATCTCAAAACCTGCCTTTCCTCTTGATTTAGACTTCAGTTCTTGATTCTTCCACCCACGTCTGTGTTAATTTTCCTCCTTCATGTTGAACTGAGAGCAGATCAAGGGCTGTTATTCTGCTCAGCTTAATCTCTGAGCAGAAAATGTACAGAAAAAACAATTCCAGAAACTCACTGATTAGTCAGCAGAACCACAGACTTGGTAACTGCCAGGCAGAAAACACCTATAGAACTGCACCCACACATGCCAGGCAATGACAGTAGCCACAAACAGATCCTGTAACCAAGAAGCTTTTCAGCCCTGCAGGTAAAGTTTGAGTTGTGGTGGTCTCAAAATGGCTATGTAATTTTCTCAGCATCATGTTAAGCAGCACCGTAAAAGAGGGCTGAGAAGCTATAGCTGTGTCTGTAGCAGGCTGTGGTGAATGCACTTTGCTGGGTGTCTTTAAATTTGGTGCCCCAATCTCATCTCCTCCACCTCCATGAATTCCCGGGGGGGGAGGGGGGGGGCGGGCAGACGACATGAGACAGGACCATAAGTATCTTTGCATATAACGAATGTTAAAGACTTCTAACAAAGTCCATATTTGCTTTGGGTAGGTAATCAGGATCTATACAGTAATTCTTTTCATGTATTCTACATTACAGCTGATATCCTCCAAAAAATATGAGCAGTGGAGTATTCTATAGAGCTGGCTGATGGTTTCAGAAAGGAAGCTGAAGGGCACATTGCATTTAGCATGAAATGCCTTGCAAAAGTCCTGGCAAGGTGAAGGATTAAACTGAATGAAGTATCTGGCCAGAGATGTTTTTGAGGCATCGAATGACTGCTCAGTGCAAGTACTGTGCTGCATGGAAAAGTGCCAGATTTCAACACATGCACAATTTTATAACACATTCAAGCACAGGCATCACCAACCTCTCTCTTTAAAGAGCACATCCATGTTGAATCCTCATGAGGGATTTATATGCTTTCCTTTTTAATAATGCACAACCTTGTATCTTGTGCAGTCTCTAGGAAACATTGGCAACCTGCAGTCAGGAGAGGCAAGGGATTTTTTGGAGACAGCTGTTTTCACACATTTTTCTGCTCCTGTTCATGCTCTCCATACAGCTTCTGCTGTATGGGAAGCTGATACTCTAACTGAGGTTATGTGTATGTTGCATAGCGCATGTGTACACTCTAAAGACACATTTACACGCATGCACATGCTCATGCACACATGGGAGCAGACTAAAAGAATAGACTAGACTAGACTAGACTAGAACATAGTTGTGCATTTTTCTTGTCAGAATCAGTATTGAACTTTTTGTGGCGCAGGGTCTTGGCTTATTTCATTGATCTGTGGTGTCATTTGTAAAATAAAAGCACATATAATCACCTGGACACTCATCATGCCTCATCTATCAACTCTCCTTTTCAAGTGTAAGGAATTTAATGACCATAGATATGCAGGATATGTAGGTGATATCTATGATTCTTGTATGTATGAATGTATGCCCACATATAAAGTGACAGATCTCCAACTGATATATTGATTAATAAACCAATACTGCTGTCTGTGATGAGGATAATCTCAACCCAAGTAAAATTGTAATGAATCTTGTAATTGTGATGAATCTAATAAAAAAACAATAAACCATCGGCTCTGTAGATGCCGCTGAATCTCTCTTGATTCAGTGAATCGCTCGTCTGGTCTGTGATATAGTATGATGTACACAAGCCACGATAGCATGGTGCATCATTAGTTAACATTTTAGGTGTAACTGTATAAACAGACAGAGTGGCAAAACAGGCTGACTAAAGCTGGACATTAAAGAACTAGTCTACTATAAATTCTGCATATGACCAGCAGTGCCTTACTTTTTGCATTTCTCCAGGTTTTTCTATCATTCCATCTGTGAAGTTGACTTACCATGAGCCCAATCAGAAGTTCAGACTGAAAAGAAAATAACAGATATTTCACATTCCCCAAGCTGGATCCATTGTTTAAAAGAAACCCTCATGATGCATATCCAGTGCTCACTTTGACCAGTGATAGATGAATACTCTGTTTGTTATTCATACAGAAATGAGATTAAATATTATCCCTTCTACATTCAGTCCAAGTAATTCAAGGAATGAAATTCTGTTTGGGAATAGAAGATAACACTTCATGAACAGGTTGATTAGAAAAAAAGGAAGGTAGTGAAACATAGCAGATGTCTGAAAGCATACAGAAAGTTCAGAAGGTTAAAAAGGTCGAGCCCCTATTTTCTTGCAAATAGGATTATAGATAAAGATAAACAGAAAGCAATTTTCTCACTATGTGTGGTGGTAAAAGTTAACGCCCTATGATGTGCCTCGTTGCAATCTCAGAAACCAGGAACCATATGTCCACAAGACTTGTAAAGGATCTTAGCAGAATACTGAAAGCTCAAAGCTAGGCAGCATTGTAGACACCTTCAAATTTCATAATAGAATAAGGAAGATAAACAGGAGATTAATGCCAGAGATAAAAAGCAAAATGAATATGTACTTAGAAATGTCTTGGAGACCAATCATGCTTCAGTGCAGCTGTATAGTATTAGTGATGAAAGACTTCAAAGGTTTTATGTGACAGAGGGAAACAGAACTTGACCAAAAGATGCTGGATTAGCAATTCCACAAGCAGTAGTCAGAATTCAGGGACACACAGTCTGACTCAATAAACAAAGCAGAACACAAAACCATCTCTGAAGATCATGACTCCTGCCCTGGGTTCATTTTATATGAACTTGTAGATGCGAATTATCTACGTGTAATACATCAATGTCAAGAGCAGGACCATAGCTGGTAGATGCTAACTAGCATCTGCCTTGGAGATGGTCTCCACCCTCAGAGAACACAGGGAAAGGGAAAAAATCAATTTTTGATTTCCGTGAGGAGAAAAGGCAGAGGCATTATACTGTATATGTACAATTTATTGTACATAAAAGCAACTGCAACCAACAAAGCAATGATGGAACTAATTAGTTCTAATGAGGCTCTAAAGGGGCTGCAGTTCCTTTCACTAGTAAACATTCTGATAAGCAGCACCAAGCTGAACCAGGCATCTATAGACACAGGCTTGTTTCAACCTAGGTGGAAGCTCTCCATGTGAATGCGTTGGTGTTCATTCCATCACAACAAAAAACCCAAAATCATACTATATCTGTTAATGGTGTCCTCAAGAAATCACAAACAGTGGAAAAGGAAGAAACCAATTTACAAACATTTTCCATGTACCAAGCCTGGAGAATTCATGAGGAGAACAGCTCATGGCCATCCAGTTCTGTAAGAATTACAGAGGTACAAGTCCATGAATCTGATAAACACTGCAGCCCCCTGGAAATGGAAGGTAAATGCCAAAAAAATAAAGAAGATGCAGCTGGGTGGATTTGATAACTGGGGTGAAGGAGCCTCCTGTGCAAATGCCACCTGGGGGTTGTACCACTGGGTATCGTAAGAACCTGAAATTCTCCAGTGAAACAGGAAAGAGTCATTACAATTTTACTTGGGTTGAGATTATCCTCATCACAGACAGGATCCTGTGCACTTCCCCTCAGGCACCACACTACAGGTTCAACAAAAGGGCACATGCATTGGTTCCTTCCCCACCTCACTCCCACCACAGCAAAGTCTCTTATATTAAATTATTACCACAGGTTCATCAACATCTGAGGGAATATTTACCTCTAATATGGATACACAAGGCGAGTTTAAACCAATCCCTACAAAACTGGAGAGGGCTATACGGAAGGGAGTGCAGGAAATTATGTAAATCTTTCACTCAGATGAACTCCTGAAAGATTTACATGGAGCACCAATCTCACAGGAAAACTTTGGTTCACTCTTTTGTGATAGCTGGGAAAAGAAAACAAAAAGCATAAAGGTTTCAGTCTAGATGGGGCCTTGAGTAAACTGGAAGGCTTGTGGCAGGGGGTTGAACTGGATGATCTTTAAGGTCCCTTCCAACTTAAACAACTCTGTGATTTTATGATCAATCAAATAATCCAAACTTTAAATCCAGGGCAGCAAGGTTATCTGTAGAGCTCAAACATAACAGGCAGAAGTGAGAAAAATGTTCTTTCACATTTGAAATGAGGAGAAAGGGTGATGGTTTCAACAACCTCCATGACCTGTGAAAGCTCAGACAGATCTATGCTGCTGGAGACCAACCACGGTACTTGACACTAGCAGTCTATGAGCATAAAGACTTTTGAACAACATGGCACATTCACATTTCCCAGTATCTTCCTAGAGCTGAAAATGATTAGTGAAACCCTGGCAACAAAACTAGTTCATTAGCTGTGCTCATTCCACACTACAGAACAGTTCCTTGAATTATGATTGGAGCGAGCACAGCTCAAGTGTTAATGTGAAAGAAGGTAAGAGTTCATTTGGATTTATCCATGCTGTGGAGGATGGGTAATATTATAGGAGCAAAATGCCGACTTTCTTGTTTAAAGCAGGTTTTAAGGTTTCAAGGCTTAGTGATGCAGAAGCTGCATATAAAAAAGCTGTCCTCACATCTTTCAGATCATGTCATTGAGTAAGACAGGCTAGGGACCATTCTCTGGTCCTAGGAAGTAGAATAAGTAGTATTATAGAGTCTACATCCATATAGCTAATTCCCCCATTCCAAGCCCCTGACCCCAGCACAAGATCTTTAAGCCCACAACAACATGTCTATGTTGGCCCCAGATCAGGCCAGAGCAGTCTGCAGGCAACCACTAATTGGTGTGGGCAAAAGCTATGCTAAGAATCATACAAATCATGTAGAGTATGGGTGTCTGCAGGACAGAGCACAGCCTTGTGTCATGACGCTGTTTTTCTTCTGAACATCGAGGTAGCTTTGGAGCCTCTTCAAGCTGTGATCACATTACAAGGAAAACAGGTTAGGGTTCATTCACTATATGGTATTTGAGGCCTCTGCAGAATGACTGTGGGCCAGTGCCAGAAGACTAGCGGAAGTACCTTGGATCCTTGACTGCAGGATGGCACCTGGGTTCTACATTGAAACTCTGTAGAGTCATTACCAGGGTTATCAGGATTAGTCAGCTGTTTGGTGGAGCAGAGCCTCCACCCTTGTTATTTCCTGTGTTTAGTATAACAGAAATTGCTCCCTACGTGCACAAGCACATACATATCCACACACACCAGCCACATTTAGTGATGCAGCTAAGTAATTCACCATATTCTGCTGTGTTATATTGGAACTCTGGTCATTTCAGGCGCTCTTTTAAAGAAATTTCTGGATAGGGATGCGAATATTGACATGCAAGCAATAGTCCTGCAAATATTTAATTCACATTGATTGCTTTTTGTTCCTATTTCCAGAAAAAAAAAATATAAAGTTTGCTTCAGCTAAGTAGATGGCTATAAAATTTAGCATAACTATGTACAGTATTTTAGAACATCAATGATAATGTCTGGGTATGAAAGGAACTACTTAGCAGGAAGTTAACAAGCAGTTTCTTGTATTTGATCAGAAGTTCCCTGAATCAAATGCAATGATGTGTTTGCCTTTGTAGGACTGAATTTTGCTTTGGTAAAAGTTTTGATTTGAAATTAATCTTTGATTTAGGGAATCTGCAATGAATGCTGCAAACGGAAGTATCGGTGCTTGTACAGCCTGATTTCAGCAATGCTGGGGAAGGGAGCTGAATCAGGCTGTCCATGTAGAATGTCTACTCCTTCTTTCCAGGAAAAAAGAAAATTATACTTTAGTGTGATTACTGGCATCCTGAGTGAACTTCCAATTGAAGTAAGTCGTCCAGGAACTTGTAGAACAAATAAATGTTCTTACCTGCAGCAAGTGCAGCAGAAAGCATATTTTAGATAACCCAGATGATAACAACCTGCACAGAAGGAGTTACCTGTTGCCTAAGGTGCCATGGGTACCAGCTCACTATTTGTAAACCAAATAGTTCCAGTTGCTTATTCAGACAGTACCTGATCCACATGTGCCATTGCTTGCATAACCGTCAGCTTATTTGCAAGCCGAGGTTGCTGGAATACATAGCGTTTCATTTCAGGCACCGTTTCTTTTAGGAAATGCTCTGTTCCTGAAAATGGAAAGGACTCCATTTAATGATTAACCATCAAAATAGATTCCCGCTTTATAATCTCCTAGGGAAAGGGCAAATCACTTTGACCAGTATACTCTCAGAACAGCTCATTTCAAGAAAGGAGAATGAAAAAGAGAATTCTAATACTGCCATAGAAAATACAACCTGGAATATTTTATAGAAAGCCTCTGTTGTGTCAGAAATCCTTCTGTCCTCTGTATCTCAGGGTGTATTGCTTCCTACACAACAGCAGCTCTTTGCCTCCAGCAATTCCCTTCGTAGTTCTTTCAGGACTGGGAAACCTTGCCTGGTGAGATTGGTTTTCTTCCTCTAGGACATTTTGATATAGGAGTGTTGTTTTATGCATCTTTATTTCAATAAATAAAGTTGATTGTTGCTGTGTTTGCTTTTCTGGTTTCAGTATTTTTACTGTGTATAACAGATGGAGCTGCTAGCAACACAGAGAGATAAGGTTGCTTAACGTTTTTCATGATAAATCTCTGTGTTCAGTTGCTTATATCTCATTTTATCCACTTGGGCTAAAGCATTTCATGCTCTCTTCTTGCCCCAGATTGTTTTTTTTCTCCCTGATTTTCAGCAAAAACTATTCTGTTATTTTCAAAAAAGAAATAAATATATTTCCTAATGTTAATTTTTGTTTTGTAGGGCTGTTGAACCTAGGACAAAGCTGTTGCATTTTGGTAGGAAGGTTGTGGTGAAGTGAATTAACAGGTTCACTAATTTTAATCCATGTGCCAATCTCACGAACAATAAAACCATTGTGAACAACGCATGAGCCTTCCTTGTGTAGCACTGGCTTTTGAGCTCCCTGTTTTTAGAACAATTCATTTAAAGAAATAACTTTGAACTAGTACAACCACAGAAAATACCAAACAGAAATTTTCATATCCTTCCTCTGGAAGTTTCAGCTAGCATAGCCAGGCGCACACGCACTCATGGAGCAGATATACAGCCTTATTATATAAAGATATGCAGACACAAATATTTCAGTCAGAATGTTTCCTCCTCTGAAATAGTTGGAATATTTTCCTGTTGACTTTGCTGGGAAAAGCATTGTTTCCTTGGTGAAGCTCTCTGCAACCTTCATTTTAAGTAAAGTTATGCAGCTCAGGCTGCTCCTACGCAGAAAATGCAGCTCTTGCTTTCCCTGCTACCACATCCTCTGCACACGCACCCGTGTGGCGGCAGCTCCTGCTCTTTGCTCAGCCATTTTCAGGCCCACACGGGCACTTGGATGTTGAGAATTACTCACTGCAGGAGCAGCTCTTTTCCGCACCGTTCAGCTGAGCACCTTTAGCACTAGCTGGTGAGAAAGCCTCCCTGGGCTGGCAGCGCTTTGTCCCTGAACAGCATGCGCTGCGACAGTGCCTGGGACATTAGCTGTATATGATATATATTTCTCTTGGAAATGAAGTTCCCCACGGGGAACGGTCTCTTTAATAATGCCTTCCAAAAAAAGTAAACTAATCAATTAAGATTTGTCAAGCAATTACTCCAAGAATTGGTCTGCACAACTGAAATGAATCAATTAAAATAATTAGCCTTATGGTTTGTGTGTGTGCCTAATTGTATAAACATTTACCATGTGCATTTTCAAGCTAAACTTAACTCGCTTCCACATAGAAACTCCTCCAGTGTAGGAGATTGTACTGCAAATTACAGAGTTCACATGTTTAATATATGTCAATATATTTTCAAGGACATTTACATAATATATGCAAATGCATTGAAGAGTCTTAGCTGCTGTAAAATCCCATCCCATCCTTAACATCCAAATCATACACAGCAATATGTGCTGTGGGTGTTGTGGGGTTTTTGTTTTAACTGACCAGCTCCTCCACCAGTTTAACTAAATTAGTGAGGTTGCTGAAATACACTCCACGTGGGGCCGTGCTCTGGGACTGCTCAGGCACTGGAGCGAAGGCAGCATGCAGCTTGATTATTAAATGTAGTGGTTCACTGGAGAGACACTAAGATTAGAAATCCGCGCTCCTCACTGCTTGCCATTTAACTTCCAGTTAGAAACCGAGGTGTTGGTCTTATCCTATAAAATCTTGGATCATTTGGGCTTGGTAAAAAAGGGTAGTGTTATTCTCCTCATAATAAACAGCCAAAGCAATGCCCAGAGAGCAAGCAAAATGGCAAGATTAATTATATTATATGAACTAAAAGGGATACTGGACTCCTGGCAGGCTACTATGCTTCCACCTCCCATATTCCAAGAACTGCTGTAAAATATATTATTAGCACATAAATTTTTCCTTTCTTTAGAGAGTGAGTATTATAGTTCAATGAATTTCCAGCACTGAGTCAGCCCTTCATAGTCATGGCACAGTGTCAGAGAATCATACAAGTATAGAACGGAATCCTGGAATCATTTAGGTTGGAAAAATACTCAAAGATCATCAAGTCCAACCATTAACCTAGCACTGCTGAGTCCACCACTAAATCCATATCCCTAAGTACCACATCTACAATATACCTCTAGGGATTCAACCGTTTTCCTGGGCAGCCTGTTCCAGTGAAGAAATTTTTCCTAATATCCAATCTAAACTTCCTCTGGCACAACTTGAGCCTGTTTTGTCTCATCCTATCACTTGCTACTTGGCAAAAGAGACCAACACCCACCTCGCTACAACCTCCATTCAGGTCCAGTGTGCAGGGTCAGACAGGAGTATCTCACCCTGTCTTCACACAAAATTCCATTCAGGGAGTTAAAACTGTGCAAACAGACCAGCCCAACTGCCCCCAATGCACTCACCTTTCTCAGTGTATAATGACCAAACTCTCAACCTCACTTTCAAACCTTTGCATATTTTCTGTTATTGCCCTTGATCAGTTGTTCTCTATGATGGAAAGACTGCTACTAAGTAATTAAGTAGTACAAAAATATTCCAAATGGAAATCAAAAACTTCAAAATATCCCTGAGACATTTCCCAAATCTCAGACCTTTCACTAAAACAGCTTTTCCCCCCTTTCGTTGGTGTTATATGTGTGTTGAGAGTGATCAAGAAGAGAAAGCAGCTCTCCCAGATGCCCTGAGGGGTGCCCTGCCCACGGGACATATCACAGGTCACAACTGATCATTCTGAAGGCATTCATTACACAGAAGTAGTCTGTGGCATGCTACAGGGAAGAGAGCTGAGGCACAGGCTCTTCCCCAGCCTGCATCCTTCAGGAACAACCTGCTTCTGAGGACAGCGGCTGCAGCTCCTGCAGGTAAATACCTCCCTGCTGCAGTGTGGGGCCCTCCCCAGGCTGTGGGGGTCTCTCTAGGAACCAGTTGTGGCCATTTCTGCTGTACCACAAAGCCAGTGCAGAACCTTTCTGAATAACACCGGGGAAGTGCAGCTGCTTATGGAACAGGCATTTGCATCTGGATCCAGCTCCACAGGAAAGCTGGGGTAAGTACCATTTGGCTGGGAACAAGCGGTGCTTGGGTCCTGCAGCAGCTCTGGTCCTCACCTGCAGCCAGGAGGTGGCTGCAGCCGTGTGGTCAGAGTGTGAGCAGCACCAGAGAACTGGGGGAAGTGGTTAGGAGGCACTGAGACCAAGGCAACAGTAATGAAATGTGGTTGTGGTTCCAGGCTGCAAAAATGCCACAAATCAGGTACATTTGTATGAATTCTTTACACCAAACTGCACTCAGTTACCCACACAGGAGCAGCCATGACTTATATTGTTTCCAGCTTACATAGCGTCAGTCACAGATTCCTTATTACACAAAGTTATTTTCCTTATCGTATCTGCCACAGACGATAAAAATAAACAAATGGGTGAATATAATTCATTCACTGGTTTATGAACCTGCAGTCCCACAGAGACAGTAGGAAACAGCAATGCAGGCTGCGGTGATGCTAAAATTGAGGGACAAAAAGCAACACAAGATCACAGCTTATAAGGATTTATTCTAAGAAACCAAATGTGCTCTGGGATCGATGTTGCTTCCCTCCTTTCTGGGTTCATTATCCTTACTGTAAAGCATTTACTTATAAACATCAAACCAAGGCACCATGATTTCAAGGGAACACCCATGGATCAGCTCAGGGCTGGAAATGGATATGGGTTTGTTTAGGGGTTTGAAAGTTTTTGGAGTGTCAAGGTCAATGATTCCTTTTAATGTAAAAGCATTGTTTGCCCCTTCTTTGAAAACTGTAATGGTGCAATAGATGTACATGCATAACAGTTTTTCCCTCTGTATTGTTCCACCTGTTTTGGTGCTATGTAATGTAAAAGAGCAATCCAAAACTATCAGGTGGACTGCAGATTTGCTGCCCAGTTGAGATAATTTTTAACTTGACCTTGACTTTGTAGAAAAGCAGTAACAGCAAAGATATCTGAATTGCATAGACATGATTTGGGTTGGTATTTTCAATGTAAAAAACAGGAGAAAGAAGAGAAAGTGCCATACAGTGCTCAGGCAGAAATCATGGATGCTGTGAAATGCCAAGAAAGGGAGCTCAGCGCATAACTATCTTGAGGACATCGGGAATACTCAAACTTGCCCTGAGGACATTTGCAAATACAAGCTAATGCCTTTCAGGATTAGTTTTTAAACACACAACGTTGTAAATGTGTGGAGGGGGTTTATCTGCAGTGTACCAGATCGTTAGTATTGCGTACGCCAAAATATGCTTTGGCCGCAATCCGATGACAAAGGCTTGTCTGAGAGATACTGATCAGTCTGGGGAGCTGAAGTGGCACAGAAGAGATTTAAAAATAAGGGGGTCTGTTCTCTGAGTCATACACAAAGCATTCATTAACTGTTACCAGCACATAATTCTCTCCATCCTCTCTCCTGCACTGCAACCAGATGGGAGGAAAGCATATTTTGGGAAAGAGATATGTTGATTACCCTACCCCGGCAAAAGGGCTCAGAACTGGCTGAACTTTTTGCCTGACTATTTTTCTGTGCACAGAGTTAGGGTCTAAGAAGCAGCTCAGTGGTTCATCTTTAATTACACACTTTCAAAAGCAGCACAGCACTCCTCACCTGCACATATGTACATTTTGCACTGTAAAGCCTGCATCTAATGTATGAGACAGAGGTCACTGCAAAAATG